GCGTAAATATTTATTATACTTATGTCCTCCTGGTATATTGACTGTTTAATCATTATATAGTGTCCTTCCTTATCCTTTGTGGTGGATTTTACTTTCAAGTCTATTTTTTCAGAGATTAATATTGCCACTCCTGCTGTTTTTTGAGTTTTGTTTGCTTGATAATATTTATTTCCATCCTTTGAGTTTTAGTTTGTTTGTGTCTTTAAGATGTGTCTCTTGTAGGCAGTATATAGATGGATCGTGTTTTTTATCCAGTCTGCCACTCTGTGTCTCTTTATTGGTGCATTTAGTCCATTTACATTCAGCGTAATTATTGATAGGTATGAGTTTACTGCTGTCATTTTGATGTCTTTTTTTGCGTGTTGTTCAGTTCCTATGTTCCACTTAATTTTCTGTGCTGAGTCGTTTTTCTTTATGTATTTTCTTTTCATGTTTTTCATTATTGTTGATTTTGTGTTTGCTGAGTCTTTATATTTTTCTAGTTTTTTATTTTGGCTTGTTAGGATTGCTAGTTTCCTTTGTGGTTACCTTAATATTTACCCCTATTTTTCTACATTTATACCAGTCTTTTCTTTCTTTATGTCGCCTTGACTTCCTCTCCATATGAAAAATGTACGTCTGTTTTTTAAGTCCCTCTTTTTTGTTTTAATGTTGTCATCTTTTATACATTAACATCTGTTTTCCTATTTTCAGTGTTGTAGCTTTGATTTACTTTTGTGACTTCCCTGTCTGGGTTGATATCTGATTGCTCTGTCCTGTGTTCTAGTCTTGGGTTGTTATCTGATGTTACTGATTTTCTAGCCAGAGGACTCCCTTTAGTATTTCTTGTAATTTTGGTTTGGTTTTTGCAAATTCCCTAAACTTCTGTTTATCTGGAAATGTCCTAATTTCACCATCATATTTGAGAGACAGTTTTGCTAGATATATAATTCTTGGCTAGCAGTTTTTTTCCTTCAAGACTTTATATATGTCATCCCATTGCCTTCTTGCCTGCATGGTTTCTGCTGAGTAGTCCGAGCTTATTCTTATTACTCTCCTTTGTAGATGACTTTTCATTTATCCCTAGCCTCTCTTAAAATTCTCTGTTTATCTTTGGTTTTGGCAAGTTGTATTATAATATATCTTGGTGACCTTCTTTTGGGATCTACCTTATGTGTGGTTTGATGAGCATCTTGGATAGATATCTTGTCATCTTTCACGATATCAGGGAAGTTTTCTGCCAACAAATCTTCAACAATTCTCTCTGTATTTTCTGTTATCCCCCCCAGTCTGTTACTCCACTCACTCGTAGGTTATTCCTCTTGATGGTAGAGTCCCACATAATTCTTAGCGTTTCTCCATTTTTGTTAAATCCTTTTATCTGATTTTTCCTCAAAGAAGTTGGTGTCAAGTACTTTATCTTCAGTCTCACTAGTTCTGACTTCCATTGCCTCAGTTCTGCTCCTATGACTTTCTGTTGGGTTGTCTAATTCTGAAATTTTATTGTTAATCTTCTGGATTTCTGATGGCTGTCTCTCTATGGATTCTTGCAGCCTGTTAAGTTTGTCATTATGCTGTTCTCTAATCTTTTTAATTTCCTCTATTGCGTGGTCTGCATTTTGCTTAATTTCCTTCCTAATTTCTTGAAGAGTTCTGTGTATTAATCTTTTATATTCTGCCTGCAGTAATTCCAAGAAATTTTCCTCCTTTGGAAAATGTTTAGATTCTTTATTTTGGGAGATTGCTGAAGCCATCATGGACTGCCTCTTTATGTGATTTGATATTGACTGTTGTCTTCTAGCCATCAATAAGTTATCATATTTATTTATTTTTTTGCTTACTGTATCCTAGCTTCTTGTTTTGTTTTGATATGCCCAAATAGGCTGCTTGTATGAGCTAGTTTGATTACTGGCACCTTTGAAGCTCTAATGTCCTGTCACCAGGTTGTTGGATCTTTTACTAGATATGTGAGCTCAGGAGTCTGCCCACTCCTGTATGGACTCAGCTCAGGTGCCCAGGTAGATAGCCACCAAGTGTGTGGTGTAGGCTCTCACAGTCCTAGACAGGCATGGGTGATTGGTGTAGGCACAGGCATGTGGCTGCAGCAGAGTGGCACACCCTGAGCAAGGCAGGGGGCTGTTGGCCACCCCCGAGTGTCTAGGAGGAAGGTGTGTCCCTGTTCCCTAGAGCGCGTAGTTGGGTGGGTTTTACAGCCAGACTATGAGTACCTAATGCTGTTGGCTGTAAGGACTGGGGGGCATCTCCTATTCATGGGCCCCTGTCACGGTAGCTAGGTGGTGTGGGTGGAGCCACCAGTTCTCAGGCCCCTGATGTGGGCAGGTGAAGACCCTGCTTAATGGGCAGAGCAATGTCAAATGTCACAAACTTGCCAGTGCACAGCTGAAACAGTTGAAGGTAGAGTTCAGGCGTATACCCTGTTGTACTGTGGTAATGAGGGCCTACACTGTTGAGATGGGCCCACAGAAGTCTATGTACGGGGAAAGGCACTCAAAGTCCGTGGATCCCTTATGCCTGTGCCTAGGCAAAGGATCTGTGCCTACCCTGGGTTCCTGGCTTAGGGGAGCTGGCAGTTTATTTTTCCTCCTGTTTGTTAATTTGTTCACTCTCCAAGGCAGGGAGAATGGCTCTGGATGTGTGACAGATCCTACTTCCGGCCCAGGTGACTCAGCAGTTGCTAGAGCCAGTCTGGGACCCAGTGCAGAGCAGGGAGTGGGGAGGTAAATGGGAGAGAAGTTCTTCCCTATGTGGGTTGTTTTTGATCCCTGCAGTAGGCCGTATGCAATTACTTATCTTTTGCTGGATCAAGGGCTGCTTCTCACTGGTTCTGGATGGCTGTGTAGAGTCTTTGGTGCTGGGTCTCTCACAGTGCAGAAAACACACCTCCCTAGCACACCTGCTTGCCTGCCTCACTGCTCACCATGGAGCTGATCAGGCCTGAAGGGCTCAGGCTCTCTTCAGGTCAGGTCTGGCAACTCCTCCCTGTTTCTGAACCATGTCTCCCTCCCCCTGCCACTCTGTCCAGTTCCTCAACTCTGCCTTTGATGTTCAGGGCTCCCAGATTGCCATATATAATCGAATCACTTGTTTTTTCAGGTCTTTGTTGTAAGAGGGTCCATCGGAAGCATCTGACTGTTCCACCATCTTGGCTTCGCCTCCACAATCTGATTATCAAGGACAGGAAGTTTAGCATTACTCCAGTCCTGTTATATATATTCTATATTCGCATTTTGCCAATCTTCCCGATGATATTCCTTAATGAAATTTTTTTCTTTGTTCTGGTGTCCAGTGCAGGATTACACGTTGCATTTAGTTGACACATCTTTTTAGTTTCCTGTAACCAGTAGCAGTTCCTCAGCCTTTGTCTGTCTTTCATGACATTGACATTTTTAAAGGTCAGCTCTCAATTTGTGCTTGTCAGGATCATTTCCTCCTAGTTAGATTCAGGTTATGCGGGGTGTTTTGTTTGTTTTTTTGGCAGAAGCTCCACGGAAGTGATGTTGGTCCTCAGAGGATCACATAAATTCACTTTTTCCCAGTATTTGCTTCAGTGTTCTACAGTAGGTGTGCTCCACGCTAAGGGGACTTTCTTTCTCTTTGTAGTGAATCCCTTACCTGTGAGGAGATGCTTGAAGGCTGTGCAGGTCACCTGTGGCCCAGCAGGTTTCCCCAGTGGGTCTAGCAGTCATTGATGACCCTTGCCACCATCAGTTAATACTGTGGTGTTGTCAAATAGTGATTTTCTGCATTTCCAAGCTGAACATCTGTTGTAAAGAAAAAAAATTTTTCTCCGCTTTTATATTACATTAATTTATGTCAGTATAGACCTGTTTTTTAATTCAACTACATTATTATCGTTATTCATTTTGATATTCAAATTGCCATTCATTTTAGCTTTGGTGTTCTCTGATATGTTCTTGTTATCTTTTTTTTTGGGGGGGGGTTGAGTTTCTTGAGGTACAATTTACGTACAGGAAAAGTCACCGCTTTTACATGTACAGTTGGTATGTTTTGATAAATAAATGTAGTCGTGTAACCCCCATGACAATAAAGACTGCATATTACTTTTCCATATGCTTACTGCTCATTTAAAGATTTAATTTGCCCATGTTTTAAATTGAGTAGTTTGTCTTTTTGTTATTGACTTGGTGGGGGTTATTTAAATATTCTGGATACAAGTAATTTGTTAGATACATGTATTGAAAATATTTTCTCCCATTCTCTGGCTTGCCTTTTTTATTTTCTTTAAGTGGTGTCATTTGATGAGCAATTTTTATTTTGAGGAATTCCCTGTCTCTATACCAGTCCCCCCTGCCACCTATAGGTAACTAATTTCATTAATTTCTGCTGAATCCTCCCAGTGTTTCTTTTCGCAAAAATAAACACATAAACACACACGGGCATGTCTGTTTATGTGTATGTGTATCTCCCTTTTTTCTTACACAAAAGTTAGCATACTATATATATCCTTTTGCAGTTTGCTTTTCTCACTTAACAGTATATGGTAAAAAATACTCCTTGTCAGTGCTTAGGGATTTTCCTTAGTTCTTTTTTTTACAGCTGCACAGCAGCCAATTTTTAATAAGATCAATTTTGGCTAGACGCTCAAAGCAAATATTAAACTTGAACACTTTGTCCTGCAATTATTTCTGGACTTTTCTGGGCCAGCTTCCTTTTGCCAGTTGCAGGGGGGCATACTAAACTCAGAACTACCTACAACCCTGTGGGGAGGTGAGCCATTCTGATGGTTGGAGTGGAGGCAGAAATGTTTCCCTATCTCATGCCTAACTGGGCTCATCAGATCTAAGAACATTAACAAATCAGTTTGAAAATTACAAGAAGGGGAAAAAAGCATTCAAAACTATCACTGTTTTTGTGTTGACATTTGCTGTGTGCTTGTATCTTTTTCTCACTACCCTTCCCCTTGTGTTTCATGGGAAGTGCAGCATGTTAACCAGTGAGCCCTACAGCTTTTAATAAGTGTCTATCATGCTTTCACTCAGTCTTTCCCTCTAAAACAGGTCGCCCGAGAGAGTGGCCCACCCCACATGAAGAGTTTTGTGACCAAGGTGTCAGTCGGGCAGTTCATAGGGGAAGGTGAAGGGAAGAGCAAGAAGATTTCAAAGAAGAATGCTGCTATAGCTGTTCTTGAGGAGCTGAAGAAGTTACCTCCCCTCCCTACAGTTGAGCGAGTGAAGCCCAGAATCAAAAAGAAAACAAAATCCATAGTCAAAGTAAGAGCCTTCCTGAACAGAAAGCACTTGCATTGCCTGTAGGTAGTAAGGTAGTAGGGGGCGTTAGAAGGCTGGTTGCTGACTCCAGGGTGAAAGGGAATGGAAACTAACACGCCACACGCCAGGCCTGTTAGACCCTTTACAGATGCCACCTTATTGAGTTCTCACAGGAGCCACACGTGAGGTAAAGGTAAGGACGCTAAGGCCAGGTTCAGCAGAAGTACCTGCACAGCTGCACACATTTGTTCTTGAAGGGTGTGCATCACAGCCCTGTGATCATAGTGAGGGAGCAGGCATGACCTAAGTGTCCATCTGCAGGGAGAGGGGTTAAATCGTGGTAAAGCCATCTCATTGACCATATGCTGTTCCGAAAGTGAAGGGGATGTGTGAGGAGCAATGTTTCGCGGGGCGGGACGGAGACTTTTTACTATGGGCCTTCTTATTCTCTTGGGCTTTTGAGCCACGCTAATGAACCTATAAAAAATCAAATCTATCCCTCTCCTACCTCCCAAAAAGAAACAGGATTCCATCTGGGGACATTTATGGATGCTAAGGTTTGTTCTATCATGATTTTCAATATAGTTTTATATATTTTCATGTCGTATCGACCCAAACTTTTCTTACACAAAAGTAAGCGTACCTTATATACTCTTGCCGTTTCCTTTTTTCATTTAATGGTGTAACCTGGTAATCACTGCTTGTCAGTGGATAGTGGGAAGATTGCTTGGTGCTAATGGAGGCTGGAAGGAAGTAATTGGGTTTCTTAGATTCTTCTTTCACATGGAGTCAGCTTGAGGCTTTTTTTTTTTTTAAGTCGCTTCTGGATTTTGAGTCATTGTTAAGAAAGCTGAAAACCCATTTTATAATACAGACTTTTGGGGAGTTTCAGGATAGTGTTTATATTTTTTCTACCTCTATTGCCACATGTTCAAATTACCTCTGTTGTCACATGTCCAAATTTGTTAAATTTAAAAAGACTATGTTACAGTGATGCTTATTTGTAGTGAAATGTTGATGTTGAGTTGCTAAGAAGACCCTAAAATCAACTCAGAGCAATCCTAGAAAATCATAAAGCATCTTTTAATTATAAAAAGAAAAAATAGTTCAAAAAAGAGATCTGATAAATTCTAAGCCATTAAATCAACATAAAAATAATATCCTGTCAAGTTCCTGATCTCTGAATTGGTAAGATCCTTTCCATGAATAACATGGCACCCAGTTTCCATATTATTTTTCCCTCAGCTACATACAGGCCCAGAATATGGCCAGGGAATGAATCCAATTAGCAGACTGGCCCAGATCCAGCAGGCGAAAAAGGAGAAGGAGCCGGAGTACATGCTCCTCACCGAGCGAGGCCTCCCGCGCCGCAGGGAGTTTGTGATGCAGGTGGGTCGGCGTCGGTTGTGGAGGACCCTTCCTCTGACCACATCCATCCCTGGGTCTGCTCAAAGTGCAGGGTTGGACACCTTTGTGAGGAGGCCAGGTCCATTGCATTTGCCCAGTGGGCCACTCTGCCATCAGACATTATCGTTATTAGGACCATGTTACTTGTGATACATTGAAGACTTAAAAAACCCATACTTGTGTACACCCCAAAGGTATTGCTGTATCAACAGGTGGGAATTGGGATATCATGTTTGTATGCAAATAACGTGCACGTTGTACATTTTTTGCCAACTTCGTAACCCCCTTCCACATTATTTTCCTAGGCGTGCTACACACATTGTACGTGTGAATTCATTATTTAAGTGGATACGTTACTTACTTGCGAAAAATATGATATATTGTGCCAAAGTTATGAAGAGTGCTGTGGTGGCGGAATTATGGGAGAAATTTTTTTTCATTATGTCTGCTTAAAGTTTTATGATATTGTTCTTTTCAAAAGTTAATTTTTATGAGTAATGTAAAAAGATCTATTCCCTGCTTCTAATCCTTTTGTAGAGTTTGGAACCCAGGGTTGGCTCTTCCTTAGATTGAAGTGACACTTTAGATTAGTTCAGAATGTTTCTCCTTGTACTTAGCTTATTAAATGAAGCTACTTCACATGGGCAGCTTAATTTAATTGTGATTTTAATTTAATAGTGTTTTCTGATGAAAAACAGAATACTTAACTCTTAGGTAGCACTTGACAATTTATAAAGCACTGTCACTTACCTCGTGTACTCCACTTAACCAGTCAGAAGGTAGGAAAGGGGGTGATCCTTCCATTCTGCACATGAAGACATTGCAGCTTGCCGAGAGGATCAGTATTTTGCCCAAGATCAAATGGCTAGGAGATGGCCAAGCCAGAATTTGATTGCAGGCCGCTCTCTGCAGGCCAGGGAAGGGTTTCCTTGACTCCCTGTCTTAACACATGGGGCTTTTGTTTTTAGTAGCCAAGCACCTGTGATCAAGACCAGCTTGGAGGGAGTTTGTAAGCTGTAGAGTGCTGGAATATGTTTAACAACTAGCTTTTGGGAGGTTAGGGTAGTATTAGCAGGCCAGGGAAGTATATGTATATATGTGTGTGTCCGTATGTATATATACACACACAGGCACACATGTTATAAATAGAAGTATTTCCGTTTATATGTAGTATAAAGAAATATGTACACATATTACTAATAGAATGTGTAGCACCCAATTTGCAAATAATAATATAATACTCTTTATTGTAAATTCAGTACATCTATAACTTCAGTGTAACTGTGTCACCAACATAGCATTATAAAATCAGACTGCACACATATGCTTTATTACTATCCAATTCAACAAGGAAGTTACTCATGTTGTTTATGAATGAGTGTAATTCCAGCATGAATATCAGTTGACATTTTCCTTTATGTTACGAGTCAGATGAAAATTAAAAAAAAAAAACACATATGTCAGAACTTCACTCATTTGTCAGTAATATGAGCAACTTCTCTGCTGAATTGGATAATAATTTTTGAATGCTGGGGGAATATTTCAGTATTATACTAGCCACAGTGTCATGGCTACAGACTTCATACACTTTCAAGTGTAATCTGTTATTAACCTTTTCTCCATCACTTTCTTAAAATCAACAAAACAGCTTACGCCTTGATAGACAGTATTTGCCAATTTCTGTGGTGTAAATATTCCACCATGGCCAGTTTCCAGCTGTCAAAGTGATGCTGCCTAACAGAGTTGGGATTCCTAGCAGCAAACAGAAACAATAGATATAAAGAACGTCAAGAGCATAGATGAAAATAAAATGTAGTCAAATTAGGAAGTGATGAATTTCGAGTATTCATTACCTTTGTTTTATGGAAAATTTATCTAATTATAAGCTTATATAATTTAATTTTCAATAATGGCTGTGTTTACCAGCTCACCAAGTTTCTGCGTATTTAATAATCAGCTCTTGCAGGTTAGTGCGTCACTGTTACACCATTTAGCTTCTGACTATTGCTGGATTTTTCGCCAACGAATCAATTATCCTGGTCTGTGTCCTGACTTCCTTATTCAGGTGAAGGTCGGAAACCACACTGCGGAAGGAGTAGGCACCAACAAGAAGGTGGCCAAACGCAACGCAGCCGAGAACATGCTAGAAATCCTTGGTTTCAAAGTCCCACAGTCTCAGCCTGCCAAACCGGCACTCAAGTCAGAGGAGAAGGTGACTACTGGGGCTCTGCATCCTTGCTCTGTAATCTGTAACTGCATGATGACCATCTCACCTCATCCCTAGAGATCGGCACTTCTAGGGACACCTTCCCGGCAAGGTTTCATCCTCCAGGAGATCAAGCAGCCCCACTGAGCAGGGTCTTTCCCACTGGAAGCATTATAATGTGGACAGAAGGGGAGGTGCATGTCCTGCATGGCTCTGGGCTAAGTCATTATTGTTTTAATATCTTTATGGTCTGGGGATGCTTTGCTGGAGGACAGCTTGCTCCTCTTCTTCATTTGTAGGACGATGGTAATTGGACTTAAGGTAAATGAGTGTGTGATTCTACCATTTGCTCTTGAAATGAAGCCTGCATAAAAGATTCATAAACCTTAGGCTTCCGTTAGTTGTGGAGCAGGCTTTGATTTTTGTGGGACACTGAGACAATGTAATACTAGAGTCACGTCCAAACCCATACTTCCTTTTTCTTATGTGAGTTGAATGCCAGATGAAAATAACCCCAGTACCCTCAGTGAGAGAAGCCTTTACTAACCCTTCATTCTCAGCTGAATGGGCCTGTCAGGATAAGCCTGATTCAGCCATATCTACTGGTTGTGTCAGCGGTGAGAAAGGCATCAGCTGTGGCCATGTAGTTATTAACCAAGACCCTGAATACTCATCAGAGCACCAGCATAGATCCTGGGCTTGGCCTTTGTGTTTTTCATTTTAAAATCCTGCAGAGCATTCATACACCCTCAACTTGCTGCTTCTCAGAAAGGAGACCTGGAATTTGGCAAAATTTTTATCTAGTAAAATTTTTCACTCCAAGTATGTTAGCTTTGGAAATGTCACTTTATTTTTTAAATTGTGTATTAATTCCAGGAAATAGTCTTGATGTATTTGTTTACCATCAATCTAAAAGCTTCTTCCTTTGCCTTGGTGCGCTCTACCAGTCTAGCAGGCTTTGATTCCTTCTTCTTAAATGTCTCCCTGTCTCCTGTGAATGCAGAGGAGAGACTCTGCACGCACAGTTTAATGCACGTTGTAGATGATATTCATGGACAGGGCTGGTGTGGGCAAGCGTGTCCACTGGGAGGAACATGTAGGCACTACAGGTGTGGCATACCATAACCACACCAGTGGTCCGGTTTTGAAGTAGTGTGTTTCTGCTGATTGCCTCTTGATATTTCAAGAGTTTAAAAGTAAAGATTGACGCTGGTTGGAGTTAATGTAGTTTCAGACAGCAGGAGCTAATTTTTCAGTGGTTTGATTTATGGCTCCCCCTTTTTGTTTTTGAAGACACCCATAAAGAAACCAGGAGATGGAAGAAAAGTAACCTTTTTTGAACCTGGCTGCACGGATGAAAACGGAACTAGTAAGTGTGATGTTATTATGTCTTGATGTGAATGTGATTCTGGGATTTGCATGGATGCTGAGTACCAGCAGGTACCTAGTAAATGTGCACCGTGTCCATATCCGCATCATTCCCTATGGTGTTGTGGGTGCCGTGTGGAGGAGCAGCGTGGTACAGTGTCTTTCTGGGCAGTGATATGGAGTTGTGTTTCTTTGTATGTGTGTCCCTCCCTAGGTAATAAGGAAGATGAGTTTAGGATGCCTTATCTTAGTCACCAGCAGCTGCCTGCTGGAATTCTTCCCATGGTGCCCGAGGTTGCCCAGGCTGTCGGTGTCAGTCAAGGACATCACACCAAAGATCTCACCAGGGCAGCTCCGAATCCTGCCAAGGCCACGGTGACTGCCATGATAGCCCGTGAGTTGTTGTACGGGGGCACCTCGCCCACAGCCGAAACCATTTTAAAGAATAACATCTCTTCAGGCCACGTACCCCATGGACCTCTCACAAGACCCTCTGAGCAATTGGACTATCTTTCCAGAGTCCAGGGATTCCAGGTAACTGTTTGACCTGAGCTGTGTGGCTCATACTTCAGTGTGGTCATCTTTTCTGGGTTTCTTACAGAAAATCAGCTTTGCTCTTGGGTTTTTAAATCAAGTTCTTTGTCTGGCTGGCTGAAGTGGAGGGAGGGATGGAGAACGGGTGGTCTGGGAGGGAGGGAGGGAAATACTACAGGCATATGAGCTGAAAGAAAATCCTTGTTCTTTGGTGATAAAATTTTAAAAATCCAAGCTAACCATAAAAACAAAGCTCTGATTTAATAGCGGTTGTAATTTGAACTTCAGAGGAAACATTCATTATGCTGACCCTTTCTGCTTGGTAGGAGAGGGCACGGGTTTGTCTGTATCATGGGTTTGGGGTAGGTATCTAGGTTACTGGAGGATTTCCGTAGGCCGGCACCTGGTCTTCTGTTTGTGGTCCTCAGAGCCCCTTAGCAGCAGTTCCCTCGAACAGCCTCTTGCACCGTCTGGGCAGGCGTTGGTGGAGCCACAGTCAGGCTGAGAGACCTGGGAGCTCCCGCTTACTGGGTGCAGGGCCACAGCCCAGACCCCAGTCATATTCCCTGCTTCCCTACCCTGTTCTCAGTTTTCTTTTCCTCCTTAGGTTGAATACAAAGACTTTCCCAAAAACAACAAGAACGAATTTGTATCTCTAATCAATTGCTCCTCTCAGCCGCCTCTGATCAGCCACGGCATCGGGAAGGATGTGGAGTCCTGCCATGATATGGTATGTGGTCTCCGGTCCCCCCACTGCCCCAGAATGGGCTGGCTCTGCTCAGAGGGCTCTGGGGCAAGGGGTCGGAGATAATTGTGTGGTTATTTGGAACCTTCCCTTGCTTCAGCTTGTTACTGGCCTCAGGAAGATAGAAAGTGTACTTTCTGTATCCTGTTAGAACAGTTGATTGTTTCACATAGTTCATATTTCTGAAGACTTTTATTCTTAGTTTATTGGATGGAGTTTTCATCCTGTTTATCAGAACACTCAGCTTTAGCCAGCCTTTCCCTTCCCTTCCCCATGTTGAGCTGGAGGATCGATTTGGGTCCTGGAAGCTCATCCAGCCTCCTGTACCCTGTTCATATCTTACCAGAACAAGGAATTGCAGGTCCCAGTTCTGGCAGCTGTGAAAAGCCCCATATTTTGCTATTCTGTTTGATGAAATGACTGTTGCAAGAAATACTAAAGCTGAGAAAAGTAATTGATTAAAAAAATTAACCTAGGTATGTACTACGATGGATTCACCTGATGGAATATAATAAGTCCACCAAATTATTGTCGCTGAAGAAAATGTAAGGACAAGGAAAATATATGCTAGGTTTTTGTTTTAAAGCAGGATATAAAATTTGTAGTTTGCTCATGACAAAGTTAGAAATACTAGAAGGAAATATAAAATTCACAGTGGTTGTGGTTCAGTGAGGTAACCATGGACAAATTATTTTTAAAAATCTGTATTTCGGGTTTAAAAACCAAACATTAAAGAAAAGGGTTATTAGTGTGACGAATGTTTAAGAACTTGCTACCTGTCTTGTTGGGCAGCAGGGTGTCACTCGCCTCCCTCTCCTCAGATGTTACACTGTGGTTCCGCGAAGTGGCTTTGATTTTACTCTTCTTTCCACCCTAAACTAGGCGGCACTGAACATACTAAAGTTGCTGTCTGAGTTGGACCAACAAAGTACAGAGATGCCAAGGACAGGAAACGGACCATTGTCTGTGTGAGTACAGTTTCATGAGAGAAAGGCTTTTCTTTTTCCTTGTATGCCTTCAGTTCACACTGTCTGCTTGGGTTAGTGGTGAAACACTTGTCAGAGTAGCTCTCTGTGCCTTTCTTTCCTCTGAGAGATTTGCAAACTCTGGACAGAAAGCTCTGCCTTTTTAAAAAAAATTTTGAATAGGTAATACATGGTTCAAAAATAAAAATTATTTTAGAAGGTACACAGTAACCAAATCTTGCCCTCACACAGTCACCATCCACCCTACATCCACCCATTCTCCTCACTTCCCAGAGATCCCATTTTTATTAGTTTCTTATCTGTCCTTCCTATATGTTCCTTTGCGCAAATATAAACGTAAATTTTTTAACTTATTTTCTTCCTTTTTTCCCCAGAGGTAACATTGTACAAACATTGTCCTCCTTGCTTTTTTGACTTGACAGTAGATCCTGGGAAAGCGTCAGTTTTATCCAATCATAAACTGAGCCTTACACTATTGGATTTTCCAGCGTTTACTAATTTCTTTTTTACATGGGCTTAAGTCATTAAATTACAAAACTGGTGTCATCTTCATTTTTTCTCCCTTAAAGGTGTGGGAGGTGCTAAACCTTTACTGGCCATGAACCATTATTAAATCCCAACATATATACTGAAAATACTGAAACTGCTTTGAAAAATTGGAATTTTGGATACCTCCAGTGGGCTGAGAGACATGATGGATGAAGAACTGGACACAGCAGTGGTGAGGAAGATGGGAACACAGGCGGTGGCTGTGCCTGTGATTGAATGTGCTTGGGGTTTGTCATGATGGGGCCAGCGGAGGGGAAGTGTCCGCTCCCCACACAGGGAGCAGCCAGGCACGGCGGGGCCACCAGACTCCTGCCCGTCTTCCCGGCTCTGCTGGGGAGCTACAAGGCCGTGCCCCAGTGCACCTCATCGCTTGGTTGGTTTTGGTTTTGGTTTTGGCTGTGTGAAAGAAGGAAAAACAGAAAGCAGGACCCCCTTCTCAAACTGGCTAACTCAGTCAAACACGTCGGGATAAACACTGGACAGCCATGCCAGAGAGAGGCCTGAGACTGGCCCCAAAGCTGCAAGCACCAGAGAAGATCACATGCTTCCTACTGAGCATCACCTAACTGTCCCAGTGTGCTGAGGCCTCCCCCTCCCGCAGTGCCCACACCCTAACCCTGCTTCTCCTCTGGCAACGATACGCGTTCTTGGTTTCGTTAGTTCTTTCGATTAAAATGACACTATACACAGTTTTTATTGGAAAGTTTCTCAATGGTATCTAGTTGTATAGCACAGTTTAGAAACTTGTCTGAAACTGACTTTATCAGTAATCTAACCGGCAAAGATCATATCCCGGTGTATGTGGTTATCAATTTTTATTTTATTGGACTAACCCAGGACCGTTTCAGTGATGCAAATTGTGTGCCCTCTGGTCTACCTGAAACGGTCCTGGACCTTTCAGAAACCCTTGATGAAGTCTCCCACAGTTGTATAAATTGGACATTTTTGGAATTTTGAACTTTAAAGATCATTTGGTTCCTTTTCTATTTTGAATTTGGTTAATGCAATGACTTAAACAAATGGGCTTTGATCTTTGTTTTAAAGATTATAAAAACAATTGTGTGCGTATACGTATGGCTTTTCAGGACCCATAGCTTTCACTACGCTACAGGATATGATCTCCATGTAGTACATATAGAACTGCAGGTTGATTTTCCCTGAGTGCTTTATACTGTTAATTACATCTCCATGTAGGGCTGAAAAGAATGACCTATGTTTATATATAAAACTGTGTTGCTTTTGATGTCGTGTGATTGTACACAGAGACGTGTGCGGTAAGGTTCTGCATTTGGTCCAGATAAAAAGCACAGTAGCCTTGCAAGTTCAGTACTGCTTTGATTCATTGTTTACGCTGGAAATTTTTTCTCCCCATGGAATGTAAGTAAAACTTAGTGTTTGTCACCAATAAATGGTAATACTAAATTTTTTTCTGTTAATTTATTCTTAAATGCCACTACTGCTAGATTGCTCCCTCCCACCCGACCCCCTTTTTTGTTTTTAAGAAAATTTGTAATGCTTGTGATTCCGTCTGGGCAAAACTGAAGATCTGAAATAACTTTATATCAAACCATTGATCAATAAACAGCTACTAATGAATGTTTGGTCATGTTGAGCAGTGAGTGACTAAAGAATAACGGAGGATGTGAGAGGTAGCATGGAGGTGTGGCGTGTGGGGACGCAGGGCCAGCGTGGGAAGTATCAGTGCCGGTGGGGGGCGTTTGGCCCTTGCCTGAACCCACCACTGTTATCGAAGGACCGACACTGAGGAGCTGTGGGACTCTCCCGACCCTTCGAGGGCCGTGTCACTGCCCTCAGGCACTCGCTCCTCGAGTGTGACTTTGAGCATCAGCAGCACCATGGAGTAGGAAACGGAAAGCGCTGCAGTCCAGTCTGGCTGAAGGGTGGGTGGGTTGGTGGGTTTTTAACTTTAGAAGAACTAGAAGCTCAGAAGGGTGGTTTCAGTATAAAACCAGCCTATGGATTGGATTGCCTGAATAACCAAAAGTGTTCAGAAAGCTATGGAAAATGTTAAGGGATGGAAGGGGATTCAGCATAGCTGGGATAAAAGCAACAAAAGGAAAAAAGATGACCATTTTATTCTTTAAAAAAAGAAGACATTGGTGGACCTGTGAGTCACCTTGAGCGCCCCCCTCCTCTAATTCCCATGTTCTTAGAAGCTGCGTGCCTGAGACTCGGCAGCACCTTGTTGATGTGCGCTTGCGGACATCGCTAACAGCCACCACATGCCACTTTCTTCTGGATTTTTGATTATTTGTAAAAACTAATTCTGCATATCCATTGAAAAAGCCGGTGGCCTGGGCTAACTTTGTTAATTCACTCAAATTAATCGGTTTTGAGCACTACAGTTTAAATATTATAGCTCAAAAATAGAGTACAATAACAGCTTATTTCAGTTCTGTCTGAGGTGTGGAAATCAAGACTGCATATACTGTCCCAGGAACAGAAGTAGCTAGTTTTGTCTCAACGGTTCTTGTGACTGTAACCAGGAGAGGTCACAGTTGGGGTAATTATGGAGTACAAAATCTTGATTCCCAGCCAGATCTTTAAAGCCCAGTTGGGACAACTGGAGGCATGCAGGTGAGAGTCGTTCTCATCAACAGGAGATGGCAGCCACATGGCCTTCCCAGAGGGAAGGCTGGTTTGAGAGTCTGAGAATATTCATGGACATTCCTGTGGACATCTCTCTAAAACAGCCAGAGGTGCAGCACCTTCAAAATGCCTCTTGTCAAAGAAACGTGGAAATCCTTCTCTCATAACATCTCTTGATATTAGGGGAACTTTCCCCTTTGTGCTGTGCTGTTAATAAGGCCCAATTATAATTAGTTATAACAGCTAACTAGAAGTTATGGATCACTTCTAAGACCATACTGCTCTTCTCGTCTCAGCTTCCCCTCATAGCATGGAGAGTCACTGGTGGGCACGGTAAGAGGCAGGGAGGAGGGGAGAGCTGGACAGAGACAGCACGCCCACAACAGACACCCAAGAACACAGGGCAGAGGTGTCAGGAAGCACGTGGAGGAGGTGGCTGGTGAGGCTGGGAGATTGGCTACAGTCTCAATGTGGATGGTATTGAAAACAGAAAGGGGGAAGGCTAGAAAGAATCATGAGGTGCTGGAGGTATCAGTATTACTCATGTTTTTAAAATATATATAAACAACCATACAGAAAGTTATAAATGTGTGTGTGTACATACACACACACACATACATACATATACATCTGTTTTCTGGCTTTCTCTGCTAAGAGGGCCTAGAAGCAGTAACACCCCAGTAGCAATGAGCACACCTAGTGTCCAGATCTTGGTTTCTACTAAAAGGATCCAGGGCTCCTTGGAGAAATGGCTGAATCCAGGACTGGGGAAGAGAAGACAAGGTGAACCTGGAATATCTCAGAAAGCAAATCAGTGCTCAAAAAATGATGGGATGTGCCAAAAGGACACAAGAACCACATTGAAGGGTCTTCTGATAGTCAGATTTAGGGCAATTTGAGCAATGTTATAAATGGTAGTAATGGATTATAACCCATTGAATAAGAATTCATGAGACTATGCAATGTAAGTAAATGCGTAAACAAATGGAGAAGGGAAAGCTCTTCCTCCAGCGGTAGAATGCTAACTATGTTACATGTAGAAGGAATGAGAGAAATGGAAGATCGTAGTGGTGACTGATTCAGATGGGAGTTGTCAGTGGAGGACGAGGGTGGAGGTGTAGGAAGGAACAGGCCAGCAGTGTCCTCTCAGAATATCTCCCCACAAAATGCTCATCAGTGACAAAGGGAAAAGGGTGACTTGATGGTGAAGAAACCTGGCAGATGTACGTGTATTGACCAGAGATAACCGACTGACAAGGTGCTTGTGGGTAGGCAAAAATGATGAGCCCTTAGCTAGGAGTTGTGCAGCAGTCCATCTCAAAGGCACGGTCCTGCAGATAGACAAGCTGAGGGTGAGAGGACGGCCTTGCACAACGGCCTGGTCAGTTTTCAGAAAGTGGGTGCTGCCGATATTCTGTCAGTAGTTTCCTAAGCTCCTCTTAGGGAGATTTTAATGAGTAAAGAGTATTTCCCCATAGCTGTTTTTTGTTTGTTTGTTTGTTTTAAACTTTTAAGAGTTCGCTGTTTTTGTTTCATCCTCCCCTGGAGTGTTTGAATATTAATCCTAGCAGTGTACCTGCCCATAGCTGTTTCTTTTAAGGCCCTCTTCAGGCAGAAGAATGTGTTACTTGTGAATCTAGGCATCCCTCCATAGCTCACTGAGCTGACATGCTGGCTGTGCAGGGCAAATGCCCAGTGAGCAGCCGGGTCTGGGTGCTCTCCGAGGGCCATTGGAGAGGTAAGAGGGGCTGTAGGCCTGGTGTGATCAACAGGAAAAGAAATGGCCGTTCCCGAGAAGCGTGCTGCTCGCTAAATAGAAGCCAATGTGAGGTCAATAGAATCTGACCGTAAGAGAAGTACCAGGAAATAAACCTGAGGATGGAGATACGTAACTTGTTCTTTTGCATGTAACATAACTTTAAAAGCTTCTACTGTTGCCATCTCATGGGGCAATAATTAAGAGCTCGGTTGCTAACAAAAAGGTTGGCAGTTTGAATCCACCAGCCACTCCTTGGAAACCCTATGGGGTAGTTCTGCTCTGTCCAATAGGGTCGCTATGAGTCAGTGGTCTCCACAGCAATGGGTATTTACCATCTCTGGTTTAAGGGTTTAAATGTCTCTCTGTGGGTTCTTGAAAACAGATTAAGAAAAACATACTTGAATTTCCAAATCCATCAATAATTTGCCAAGCCATTAAGCATTACTGGGTTGACACATTTTCTTAAATAGGCTTTTAAAGAAATATGGGCTCTTTAAAGGGGCAGTGGATAACTCAGGAGGTAGTGGGGATTAATGAAAGCAGTGCAGCCATTTTCTTGGAATGTGTTACTCTGTGTACTTGTTTCACTGTGTTTTTATGTATGTGTATATATGTGCTTATATGTGTATATACATATATACATACAAAGTATATACAGAATATATGTGAGACTAGTATTTTTAAACACCATATTCTAATCAGACTTTTCTAATTTAATGGCATTCCAACTTTTGTTTATTAGCAAAAATGATACATAATTTAGGAAGTTAGCACTGCTTTGTTTAGTATGTGCTTAACCCAAGTTTAATATTTTAAAATACTTCTTTTGCACACTCTTGCAGATATTCATTGAAACCTACTTTGCTCCCAACACCGGCTAGGTAGGTACTGCAATGACAATACTAAAAGCAGTCTTTGTGTCCTGGCAGTTTTTTTAAATGATTTTTTTTATTTTAAAAATAACTTACAGAAAATTTGGAAGTCACCCACAGTCCCTGTTAAGGATTGAATTGAAAACAGGTATTGAGGTCCCTGGCCCCTAGACCTGTGGATGTGATTGGGTTTGGAAATAGAACTTTCTTTGTTAATTAACCCAACCTTGTTGGGTGAGTCCTAAACCTAATCACTTCGGAGATACAAGAGCAGAAGAGATACAGCAGTAACACGGGAAAGATGCCATATGAAGACAGACACACATGGCAGATGCGTCTACAAGCCCGGGAACAACAAGGATTGCTGGCAGCTACTAGAAGCTGAAATAGACAAAGGACCTCCCCCTAGAGCCATGCCCTGAATTCAGACTGCTCGCCTCCTGAACTGTGAGAATTAAATTTTTGTTCTGTAAGGCCACCCACTTGGGGTATCTTTTGTAATGGTAGCATTAGGTAACTAAGAATTTGGTACCACAGTGGGGGTGCTGCTCTAAAATGAAGTGGTTTTGGAATTGGGTAATGGGTAGAGGCTGGAGAAATTTTGATGCACTTGATAGAGCCTGGATTGCCTCAAAGAGACTGTTGGTCTAATAATGTACAGTAAGAGCAATTGTGGTGAGTGCTCAGAAAGAATTGAGAACTGTGGGGAAAGCTATCACAAATAGAAAGTTCCTAGAAATCTGGATGTTAAATGTCCTTCTAGTGAAGCTTTAAAACGAAACAATGAACATGTTCTTGGATACTGGAGGAAAGGTGATCTTGTTATAATAAAGTGGCAAGGAACTTGTATGAATTATGTTTAAAGGTTTTGTGGAAGGTAGAGCTTATAAGTGATGAACGTGGATATTTGAGGAAATTTCTAGGCAAAATCTTGAAGATGCAGTGTGGTTTCTCCTTGCTGCTTATAGTAAAATGCAGGAGGAAGGAGATAGATTGAGAAATGAGCTGTGAAAGACAAAAACCCTGAACTTAGACTTGGAAAATTCTATTGTAAAAGTTAAGAGTTTGCCCTGGAAAGGGCAACCATTTGCTAAAGAGATTAGGCCTGTGACCTATGAATCTAATCAACCCATCTCAGCAGAAACCCTGTCAGCTTGGACTGAAAGGGAGAAAGACAGGATGAAATGAAGGGAAACTATTTGCCTTCTGGAGTTCTAGAGGCAGAAAATGGGCCAGTGGAGCTACTTGGTTGCAAATATTTGTTGTCTTCTAAGAAAAGGAAGGGACCATCTGTGGAACAGTTTTTAGAGACCAGCAGAATTGTTGGAAGGAACACAGGGGGCAGGGCTGTAGCT